TGGCAGCAGAAGGATAGCATACTGTAGAGCTAACAGCCTGTAAATAGTTCAGTTTGAGAAAAGCTTATAAATATTACCATTATAATAGTGCGTATCCATTGGAGTGAATAAGTTTTATGTAATGCCGACTCCCCAACTATGGCAAGGCGGATTTGTGATGGTCAAGAAAGATCGATGGGTCTGGCATGCCTCTACACAGGGCAACGGCAACGCAAGAGGTGTTTGCGCAGCTCCCCATCGCCATGTTTTGGGAGCCGCTCAGATATTATGAAGTATTTTTGATGTTTCTACATCATTCTATTTCGACACTTTCCCCAATAACTTTCATATTTTCTCTTTTGTCTATACAGTGGCTGCAGGATATGTATATTTTGATTCAATGGAATAGGCGGCCGGAAGGGCGACCGCCTGCACCCACGCCGCATCTGCGTCTCTCTCGCGCGCATGCTCTCTGATCCAACTAGGTCTGCGCATGCTCTCTGATCACTCTTTAGCCTTAACTAGGTCACCAAACCCCGCCTCCCAGCCGCCCATCTGGTTGAATCAGAGGCTAGAATAGAACAAAGTATCTACATCCGAAGGAAATCACTCGAAGAAGAAGTGTCGTGAGAAGTTTCTATAAAAATTTACGATAGTGGGGCAGTTGCTTGTGCAGTATGAACCTACACAAATTGGCGAAGATTAACTCGAAAACTAAAAAGTATTTTGATCTTTCTACTTATAAATTGCACCCCAATAATTTACAGAAATATGTATTACAAAATGAACATTACAGCATTAGATGTAGGATCACATAACCTCACTGAAAAGCTCACAATTATTTGTTTGCCCAAGTCACTTTTTCGTTAGCAAAATCTTTTCTTTCCTTTTCTATTTGAGATGTAGGACCTTCGTTAGCAGCAGTCAAATATGAAAGACTTCTTCAAAGCCGGACATACTTCACGCGAATTAGTCGCGACGCGATTTGGCATTATTCCAACAGTCTACAGCTCATTGTAAGCATGTTTTAAATGTACGGATGATGCATTTTATCAATTCAAGTAAGTTATACACAATATGCACGTCTGTTTGCTAGTGTTAAATATTAAGGCTTCTGGCGGATTCCCAAATCGCGTCGCGACTGGAATCGCGTGAAGTATGCCCGACCTTTTTGCAAGTTTTCAAAAATGCAGCTCTTTGTATGTGTATGGTCAGAAAGAATATTTTTCCCCTAGTTGGAGACGAAGTTAAAGAATAAACTATATGTCATTCTACTGACCTTTCATTTTCCGGGACATGTATAAAAATATTCGCAAACGTCTCCGATAGCCGAGTGGTCATCAGTGGCTCCGGCAATTCCCTGAGATACTGTTTCAGCGTATCAGCCACATCATGAACCTAAATTTACACTTATTTTTTGATCTATCGATTTTGCTTTTGACACCGCTACCTGGCCAGGGTCAAGTCTGTTCTCGTCCACGAACACATCAGCTTCGGCATCACGATCGCAAAGCATTCGAACTTCAAGAATTCTTGACTTCACTCCATTCTTGCGGAAGATGCCGACAGTATCTGGGGCCATTTGGCGAAGATACCGTAGAATCTGGAATATCTAATTTTGATTATGTTCAATTGACCATTTTTCAGAATCTACCTCCAAAATTGTTCTCGGTAGACATAA